CTTATCAGGTGGCAAAACTGATTTATTTTTTTTTTTCCTCTCATGAGAATAATAATTCTAATTCATGAGGTGTCTTGACCATCTTTTTCTCCTTGACAGAACCCCAGAGAGCATAAAAGTAATATCTAGTAAAAAGAGTTCTAGGTCTAAGCTTTCATTCAGCATCCTCTGATTGTTGGAAGCAGGTTTTGATTTTCTTAAGTTATTTGTGTGAATATGTAACCTTAAGTGGCTGCTGAGAAGGTAGGAATGTAAGACATAATCAGATCTCTGTAGATGCCTAACAAGTGAAAGACAGAAATAGAACCTGATGTATACAATAAACATCACTTCAGGGACAAAGCCATGGGGACCAGAAAGGTACGTAGCCTCCAGAATGCAGGCTTCAGGTGAGCAGCCCTAGGCCTGAGGCATATGGAACTGGAGGGAACATATGGAGCCATAAAGAAAAGGAATAAGCTTGAAAATAATTAGTACAAAATCTGTAGTACAAAAAGCTTGGTGATATAAAAGCAAGATAGTGAAGGCATCCTTCCGAGGAAAATAAAACTGATTTCAGTGTTACATTTGAGAACATAGCCCAGTCAGGAAATACTAATATTCCACAGCCATTTTATTCTCCACTCTAATTCTCCTTCAGCTTTACTATTTTCTGTCTTGTTAGAGAGTTGTCTATATAGGATGTTTCTAATTGTCACTTTAATGTGAATATTTTTATTGTGAATTACTGGCTCTTATTTTTCCTCTCATTGCTTGGAGGAATTTGCAAGTGAAGTAGCTTCCTTGGGGTGAGGTTCAGTGAGACTGCTCTCTTGTATTGCAACTGGGATTCAGGAGATGGATTCATTTTCCTGAGCAATATAAAACTTTTTTGCTTTGCTCCTTGGAGGGATATTGCAGGCTATGGAGAAACAGAAAGGCAACCATGGGCATAAAGAAATGAAAAGGGAGAGATACAGCTATAAATGCAATGTTATTGAATGACACAGAAATATTCTGGGAACAGTGTATTTTTAATGTAACAATAAGGCTGATAGAGAAAGACTCGTGAGTTAGTTATTTTAGGATCTTGAAACCCAAAATGCCTTAGGCATTTTTACTTTAATTTGCTCCACTGTGTGCATAGACACACACATATACACAGAGCAGTAATAAAACCAGACTAACCCTTGTTTCGATGTGTCATTTAATCTAGTTCCTGGATGTCAAGGGAACACAGAATAAAATAATTTTTTGGCTTCTAGAACAAAGACAGCACAGTTCTGTGCTATCAGCAAAAACCTGGTATAAATGATAGTCCCCTTAAGGCCATTCTTCAGGGCTAAAAGGAAAAACAGAAAATAGCCTTTTTTCTTGTGGATAGTAATTAGCGCACTTGGTCCCTTTTCAGTTGGCTCCAGTTTTGGGGAATGGAGGCTCGTTGGCACTTCCTTGGCTCCTGGTGCTCCAGTTTTGCCACACCTGGGAGAAGAATAGTTCATTCCCTCTCTTCTGGAAATTCTGGTTGAATAATGGCTGGGGTTTTTTATATCCAGCTTTCCAGGCATCTCAAAGAGTTTTCCTAAAGGACTGGGAAGTAGAGTGACTCTTCAAATGTCACACATCTAGTATACTTTAGAAGTATTTTTCTGTATTGATTGGGATCATAATATCTCATCAGGATTTCTGGTAGTGATATGACACTGGAGAGACTGAGTTCATGTATGTCTGGTATTTTTTCTCTTTAACTGGTGGTGGTCATTAACATTGGTCCATTTTTCACTAAAAATGTTTTTTGTACCCTAGGGGGTGGGTGCAGAGCAAAGCTGAAAATCTTTTTCTCTTCAGAGGTCTTGATCCAAAAGCCCTCTGAATCCGGCAAAAAATTTCAATCAACTTTGTGCTTTTCCCAGACTTGTTCAAAGGTGATTTTTTTTTTTTTTTTTTTTTTTTTTTTTTTGTACTGGCACTTTCTAGGATTTTATGATATGGTATCAATGAGGCTGGACTCCAGTAATACAGTCTGAGTATGTGCTGAAGGAAGGTGTGTCTTCAGTACACATGGTAGTGTGTGAGCTGCTGTCAGCTCTAGATATGGTGTGGCACTCTGTGTAGACCAGTTAGCCTTGCTGGGTGTGAGTGAAGTGCTTCTAGGGTCCCCAGTATCCGCTCTAGATACAAGGAATAAGGAAGTATTTTTGACTGGAAATCTAATTCAATACTAGAAAGATTATGCTAACTTAAATGATAGGAATGACATTATGCAATAACATAGCTTTTGAATAATTTCTTAATGCAAATTGGTACTCAAATTAATGTGTAAAGTGAGATATGAAAATTTACCATGAATGGAGAGATATCATGGACCAGTGCAGCAAGGAGGGAGAGACTTATTGAAAACAGTTGGAAAAGGCAACATGCTTTAGACAAATTTAAAAAATAAAAACAAAAATATGGAGGTAAGAAATTGGAGGAAAGACAGACCAGTCCTTGCACTGTGTTGCTGTCAGGGTTTGGGGGATCTGTGAAGCTGCTGAGCTGTCATATTAAGGTTGTTCTGAACTAACTTGATTATTCCCACTGAACAGATATTGTGCAAAATATGAGACATATTATGCAAAAAAAAACCCAAAAACAAACAAAAAAAAAAACAACCCAAAAAACAACTAAAACACCAACAAACAAAACAAACACCAGAACCCAAAATCCAAAAATGCAGAAAGCATTGGACAGAACTCAGGAAAAAAGGAAATGCTTATGTTGTTCTTAAGTCTCTTCAAGCACTTTTTCATGATCAAACAACAATTATCCGAATGCAACAGGCAAATGAATGTTAACTGACTAAAATTATTTGTCTTGTCCTTCTGTAGTCAGACACTGGATAGTAACAACTCAGTTTTCAGAGTTGGTGCGTGCCCAAAGCACATTGGCAGAAATATCCAATTGTCTTAATTTCTAAATGGAAGACCACGTCTGTTCAGGTACATTAGAAAACTCAAAAACTTTACAGAGTGTTTGGAGAATTAAAGAGTTAGTATGCATGTGCAGACTGAGAAACCACTGTAACAGAAATATACAACTTAAATGGGGTTGTGCCTTCAGGTGAAAATCTGCCTATGCCACCTCTTCTCCATGCTCCTATGCCCACAAGGGCATACAAATAACAATCCAAATCAAGGCTATATAGACTGATGCTGTATACAGAACATACTTCAAGTAATACATTTTTTTGGAGAGGCTCCTACTGTGGTCAGAATGGTTTGTACTTCTGTAGAAATCTGTTGTTTAGACATCTGGGTGTCTGTTCAGTGTCCTTTCTGGCAGATTGCATGTGAGCCATAAACACAGTCAAGGATGGAATTGTTACGGATCTCTGACTAAGAGGCTATCTTTTCATGTTAAATGGGTGATCAGGTTAGAGGTGTTAGATTTAGTTCAGAAAACAATGTGGGTTTTTCTCCAGAATTAGGCAAATTTTAATATAAACTAGACACAATAGCCTTATTAATCATTTAAGACTGACAGAATGTGAAGTATATTGGAAAATACTAAGTTTAACTTTTTTAGAAAACAAAGCTTTATTGTTGTGTAGATCCAGTAAGCCTAAACCACTATCTTGAATTAACAACCTAGACTAATGCATTTACGGCTTGCAAAGGCTCATAAACTCTTTAGCTAATTTAGTAGGAGACTATCCTCCAACCTTATTAACAATAAAATATTTAAAATAAACTCCAAGAAAATGATTGCGGGGTTTCTCCTGCTAATCCTTCTGACTGTTGTCATACTGCAACTATTAAAGTAATGACATTCTAATGGTAATACATATGCATGCACATAGCAGTCAGATGCTTCATTCTACAAACACAATAACACATGCCTTTCTGTACAAAGGTCACAATGCTAAGGCAAAATTTCCAGCTGTTATACTATAGCAATATCTGTGAAAGTGAATGTCCTGGGTTGAGTGAGTGGTGGAGTTTTTTGGTGGCAGGGGAGGGGGCTATCGGGGCAGCCCCCTGTGAGAAGCTTCTCGAAGCTCCCCCAGCTCCAAGCCAGCTCCACTTCTGTTTGGGAAATTGAGCCAATCGGCTGCGCCTCTGCGATAACGTATTTAAGAAGGGACGTGGTGACGTGCAGTGGGACTTGTGAGGAGGAGTTGCTGCAGCTGCGTGAACACCAAGGTCAGTGGAGGAACGGAAGAAGAAAGGAGGGGGGAGGTGTGCCGGAGCAGAGACCCCCCTGTATCCTGTGGTGAGATGGCAGGGCGGCCCCCCCCACCACCCGTGAAGATCTACAGTGGAGCAGACATTGATTTATGGCCTGTGGTTCCTGCTCAGTTGATCAAGGTTCTGTGCCAGAAGAAGGCCGGGGTCTCATGGGAAAAGGTAGCCCCACTGCTGTAATTCAGCACTGGGGGGAGGATTGCAGCATGAGGGGATGTCCCACGCCGGAGCAGCTCGGGAAGGGCTGCAGCCGTGGGAGGGAATCCAGTCGGAGGAAGTTAGTGACCCATGACGGAGCAGTGTGGGGAACGCTGCGGCCCATGGGAGGGACTCATGTCGGAGAAAGTTTGTGGAGGACTGTCTCCTGTGAGAGGGGGACCATGATGGAGCAGGAGGAACAAGTTCCAGACACTCCCCTTACCGAAGATGAAGGAAGTGGCAGCACTGACTGCACCCCCCATTCCCTGCCCCTGCGCCACTGGGGGAGGAGGTAGAGATATCGGGAGCAGAGCTGAGCCCGGGAAGAAGGGAGGGGTGGAGGGAAGGTTTTCCCAAGATGTGGCAATGCTTCTCACTGTCCTACTCTGTTATGTGTTGTTAGTGTCTGTAATAAATGTATATTCTTTTTTTCCCTTCCCCTAACGAGTCTGCCTTTTGCTCGTGCCCATAAAGGGTGATTTTTTCCCCATCCCAGTCTTATCTTGAACCCCAAGCCTGGCTCTCTGTCCCTTCTCATTGCTGGAGGGGAAGGGAGAGAGAGCTGCTGCATTGTGGTTGGCTGCCAACCAGGCCCAAACCACGACAGTGAATGTTTTCTCAAGTACAAAAACCAGCTAAGACCCAAAAGCACAGCTGCTTGTATGTAAGGTGAAAATATCTGTTGTTACCACAGCCATGTTGCTGCAGTGGGAGTGTTACCTACAGACACCACTTCTTTGGTGCTTAATTGTGATACCTTTAAATGAACTAACAACAGGAAACACTTCTTGGAGGTGCCTCGCTGGCTGCAGGTAACTATCTTGGTGTAGAAGCCTAACTTCTAGGTAGTTATATTTAAATTTAACACTCTCTTCAGGACGTGTAGAACGATGTAGTCCTTCTTCTGCTAAACTTTGGAGTATCTGAAGAGCTACTCTTTCCCGTGGTTGGAGTGGTTTTGCCTTTTTAATATTATTTACTCTCTGACTTCAGGCTCAGGACTATATTACTTAACATGGCTGATTCATTGAATTATAGAGATGTAAAACAGGTCAGATTGGAAAAGGACCTCAGGAATTTTCGAAACCAACCTCCATCTGAAAGAAAGGTCAGCTATAAGATCAGACCAAGTGCTCAGAGCTTTATGCAGTTGGGTCTTGAAAGCATCCAACGGTGGAGAATACACAACCTCTGACACTGCTAGATTTATGGTCAGGATGGAAAATCTGTTCCTTAAATGTAGTTGCTGTTTATGCCCATTGACTCTCATCCTCCTGCCATGCAGCACTGCAAAGAACCAGACTGTGTCTTCAATAACTTCATCATAGGTACTGTCAGGCTTCTGCTACTCCTTCCCCCACAAGCCATCTGTTCTCCAAGCTGAACAAGCCTATCTTCCTCAGCCTCTCCTCACAGGGCAAGTGCTCCAGACACCAGTCATCACAGTGGCCCTCCACTGAACTTCTTCCAATTTACTGACAGCTGAGTTGTATTGGAGGCCCCAGATTTGGATGCCGTATTCTAGATGGTGTTTTAAAAGCCCTGAGACTCACCGCCCTTGATGTACCAGCTGTGCTGCTGGTCATGCAGCCTGGGATGCCGTTGGCCTTCATTGCTGCCAGGGGTCCCTGCTGACCCGCATCCAAACTGGTGTCTACCACGACCTGATCTTCCTTTTCCACAGAGCTGCAGGCTGTGCCCTTGCGAGGGGTTCCTCCTTCCCGGGTGCAGGACTTGGCACTGGTCCTTGTTGAGTTTCACAGGGTTCCTGTTGGCCCATTCTTCCAGCCTGTCCCTCTGAACAGCAGTCCTGCCCTTGAGTATATCAACTGCTGCCCCTGACACCACCACCAGTTTGGTATCACATGTACTCCTGATGAGAGTGGCCTCCATGGTTTCTTTCCTCCAGGTGATAGATGAAGATGTGCAGGAGGACGGATGCCAGGATAGGCCCCAAGCGTGTTCTGCTTGCTGCCTCCAGGTAGAGTATGACCCGTGAATCTCTGCCGTCTGAGCCTGCCCACCACACCATTTTCCATCCATGTAGTTGTATATGTATAGAGACTGTAATGTCCACATTCAGATACACAGCTGTTTTGGGAGAGAGTATCAAAAGTTTTGAAAAATTTGAGATAAATAGTCTGTCTTGATCTCCGTTTGTCCCCAGATGCATTCATTTTCACCTAGAAAGCAATCAGGTTGGTTAGCTATAACTTAACATTTGGTAAATTTGTGCTAGATGTTTTCAGTACCTTCTTCACATGCCCAGAAATGTGTTCCAAGAGGACCTGCTTCAGCAACCTTCTGCATTTATATATGCTACAGTTTAGTCAGGTTAGGTACAGATTTTCTTTATAGGTACTGAATTTAGTGTGTTATACTTAGACAACCCAGACTTGTTTGTATGTTTTATCAGTCACTAGGACTGCACGCAGTCCTTCATCAAACTGAAAGGAAATCTGTTGTTGAATGCCATCAACTCATGTTGATTTGGCTTAGCAGCTGATGAAGCTTTTATTTTCAAATTTCATTGAATCGTTAGTGCTTTTTTTTGTTTTAATGCAGTTTGCTTGTAAATCAGGCAGGTCTACTTAGCAACAGAATTTGTTACTTTTAAAGTCTCGGATTTGATCGATACCATGTTTCTTGGGGTACTGTTTTATTTGATATTTCACACTGTCATTGTGCATATCAAACAAAGACTGTGTCTATTACTTTAAAAAAAAGTTAGTTTTTTCTGGGTTTTCCATACCATGTGGTGTTCACTTGTACATTTTTATTATGCATCACATATCCTGTATAGAGCAGTAAACTCATTTTGAACTTCTGAAATTTAAAGTAGAGGTCCTAACATTTTCCTATGAATAAATCAGATGCTCTCTGCTCTGTGTAGTATCTACTTAGTGATTAACTTGAATCACAGTAAAGAAAAATCCTGCCTCCAGATTTCTTTTGAGTTATTTTTGTGGATTTTGCAGACTTCAGAGTGTATTTTGGATGTGTCCTGCATCATCAGTGTCGTATGGACCCAGCTTCTTACAGCGGGGCAGCAGTAGTAATGCAGCAGACTGCAATTTGTCAAAACTGCACACTTACAGGCTGAGGTCCTCAATTCCTTTCGCACACCATACTCTTGAACTCCTACTGTCGTCTTAATGCGGGCAAAATCAGGCAGCTTATTTCTAGACATGGCTGCCCCATCAGCAGGAGCTGTAGTTTCCCACTTGGTGCTTTTCATTACCAGTAAGCTGTTGGAGGCCTTGAATCATCAAGCAACCGTTCATAGATATTTGAGGACCATGGAAATCAGAGCCTAATGACCTAGCACTTTAATGATATTTATATATATGTGTAGCAAGAGAGATAGAACTCATAAATTATTTTAGTGTTCATATTATTGTGCAGTTGTGGGGAGTGGGGAAGTGATGTTGGATGTTAGTTTTAACTGTTAATTTCTTCTGGCTACCCTCACCAGCTTTACATGTGTGCTCTGTCACTTAATGTTAAATAAATTTTTAACTGGTTATTTTGTCTGATCTAAATTCAGGACATGTATGTCCTTGATGGCTACTGTTTAGACAGTAAGTGACAATAACAAGAGCCTGAGGAGGCAGATAGGAAGTGAATCTCTGTTATTGCAGCCATTATCACAGGATGGCCATACTGCGTGTTCTCAGTGCAATGCAGAGACTCAGATGGAGGCTGCTAAGTCTCAATCATGATCTTTGTGGTTGTACAGAAAACAGATTTGTCCCATCTTCTGCAGCACATAATCCAGTATCTGTGTCAATATAAGATGCCTATTGGCAAAAAAGCTTCGTAAAGTAGAGGTAATATGATTGCATAAAGTTTTGGTCTAAGTGTTTAATCTATGGAGTCAGTAAAGAGTTGATATATTTAATATGGATTCTGCTGTGCTTCATCTGATAGACTGCAACTAAAAAAAAAAAACTGGAAAACCGAAAAATAGCAGAAAATATACTGGGATGTATTTCCTTGGAAAATTGGAAGGAATAATGCATGAATGTTAAGGTGGAAAATTGCTGGTCCAACAGGATTTTATCTTTGATTTGAATTTATCTTTGCAAATTTTGTCTCTAATTACGGATCTGTTAGTTTTTCAGTCAAGGAGGTTCTTTTCTTGGCTAAAAGGCTATTTTGTCAGTGTCACGGACATGTTGTTAAAAAGCTCAAAGAAAAAAAAATCAGAAATCTGGATTAATGTCAAATTAACATAAGTTTAGAATTGTGTGAAGTCTTGGATTCATTTGTTGGAATCAGACAATGGCTTTTTCTGAAAAATACTGAAAACGTTGTCACTATTGTTTGTTATTTGATTGTTGTTATTGATGACTACATGTTTTTTACTTACATTTTAAACCTATTTCAATGGACAGCTAAAAGTCGAAAAGGCATCTGCAGATATCTGTAGTATCACTGAGAACAATAGACAAAGTGGTAATAGTAGTGCACTATGAGGAATTTAGTAATAAATATAAGCATATCTGCAACACCTACGATCCTAGCTTAGCATGGCTGAAGGCTAGAATCTTTTAGCAGGAGAAATACACAAGGTGAACTTATACATTTTAGAATGGTTGAGGTCAAAACGTGAAACTAGGTAACTAGAAAGATTTTCTGGCTGGATCTTGAGACATGCTTAAAGTGGCAAATACACAGATCCGAATATGGATCTCCATTTGTATGTTCCTATGTATGTATTGATGAATTTTAATTTCAGTTCTGACACTGAGCTGCAATGTATCAGTGAATTTATCTGTGAATTCAAGCATGGCTTGAATGAGCAGTCTTTAGATAGTAACATTTTCAACAGTGGGGATTTTTTATTTTTTTTTTTCCATAGAATTCTTGATTTCTTAAATAATTCTTGATTTCTTAAACTGTGTAATTGCTACTCTTGGCAAGTCTACACAAAAAAAAAAAAAAAAAATTAAGCAGAAATTCAAGCTCACTGCTTTACTAATATCCTTCATAAAACCTCAAAAGATTTTAGACTGTTGCTTATGTTCATCTCCCATGTGCTTACTTTCTGTCTGTGTACATATATTTTAATTGCATCCTTTTTGAAATAGGCACTGTCATGCTTAAGTGATCTGTTTGTAACATTTAATGATGTTAGATGCCGAATTCCTTCACTTAAGTCATGCATCTGGATTTGCTAAATACTCAGTTGTCTAGTGGTAATTTCTATGTACTTTTAAAAATGTATTTTGGAAGAGGCAATGATAGAGATTTTCTCCCTCTCTTACTTTTCCTTTCTGGTATGTAAAATACTTTTTTTTCAAGATACAGAGAGAGAGATCTCTGAAAAATCAGTAGTAGCATTTGAGTTTGGTAGTTTTGCCTCTGATGCTTTCTGCCCATTCTTCAACTTCAGTCCAATCACCTTTCTGTAGAATGGCTGTCCTCATCAGTAGAAGGTGCTGTCTTGCTCCTTGACCCTTTAAGCACTTTAGACATAAGTAGCATAAAGACTTTCTTAGTATGTAAAATATGTATTATAAGAACTCTTCTAGTTTGGAAATCCCTCTGTACTCACAAGATGGAAAGACACTGAAGAGAATGTGCAATTGGAACACCCCACAGTATTTCACCAAGGAAGGGGACCCTCAAGGAAAGGGGTTTATTCTAATCTGAGAAGCCAAGAGCAGAGAAGAACTCACAGGCCCTTGGAAGGGAAGATGAGAAAACAGAGCTCTTCATTGCTTTTCATTGGTTTATATAATTTTTCAGTATTTCATTATTTCTGTCTTGCACAAACAAAAAGAAATGGGTAAGGAAATCTCTAAGGGTTAGTTAGAGTATACATGAGTAGTTTGATATTCAGGTGCAGAAGCACACTCTTTGTAGAGGGTGTTTAATATTAAAAGGACATATATCTGGAAATAGATTGCTTTAAATATATGTAAAGACTGATTCATTGCGGTATAATTCTAGTTTTGAAGACAGTTGATTTCAATGTATTTTGGGACTGAAGACTGCAAGAGTGAATCAGTTCCATAATTATTTTGTGAAAAAATATTATGCTAGTAGTTCTGGAGAAATTTTTCTGTACAAATCATTACTATTTAGGGAGGGAAGCCATACCTTTCTTCATGTGTCTAAATGAATTCCATCTTGCATATGCAGAAATGTTTTTTTTAGGTTTCATTAGAGAAGGATTTTTATTCCTCTGTAAGTAGCAGATGTCTCAAATGAGTAAGAGAATTATGGCATGCTGTTATGAAACAGAATCCTAAAAATTCTGATTCTTGTAATAGAGGGGCTGAAAATTTCAAAATCTTACTTAATAGTAGTTCTAGAATTAACCTCTCTCTATATATATATTATATATATATATAAAAAGATATTTTACACTGCTGTTCACAACTGAAACTGTTAATCAAAATGAAAGAAAAAAGCCCTTAGCATTTTCTCAGTGACAAAGAGGAGAGGGCAAGATTTTGAGTGTAATTTAAACATATGACATTGGTTGATACCTAGGAAGAAATTTCAGTAGCTGTATTAATTGATATAGAAATACTGGCCTTAATGCAGCTTGTAGGGGTATTTGAGGTATTTTATTGTTTTTTTTATCAGTCTTCATTAAGGTGTATAAATTTTATTAATGGATATGCTATGTCTATTTCCTCAATTAGCTCAGAAATGCATGTCAATAAGTGCACGGTACCATAGCTGTCATAAATCTTAGAGGTCTGAAATACTATTTAGGTTTTTTGTTTAAATTGTCTGAGATAGAAAAGTATTAACAAAACCTGAAACATAGAGGGAAAAAAATATTGTAAATATATTAATGTAGCACAGAGAAATATTGAAACACCAATGAGGTGTGACCTCTGTAGCCCTCATCAGCTAAATATTCTCACTGAGTATCCATGCAGAAATATAAAATCTTCCTCTATATTTATTAAAACCATACCTTAGTATGAAAAGACAGATGTTTCAGGAAGAATGGGGAAAGATACATGACTGGTTGTGACTAGAATATATTTGTAGTTATTGTAAATCTACCAAGTACCAAAGGACTACAGTCTGCTTGCCACAGAGTTTCAAAGGTATATCTCTGCTTGCAAGAAGCTCTCAATTGTGGTCAAGCTTAGTGTTCATGTCTGACACATTACTGTCTATATTTCAGCAGGACAGGTAAAAAAATTATGCCAGTATTGTCTTATTCCCAGAGAGAGAAAGGACATCCTTTTGGAGCTCCAATCTGAAAAGACATGAGAAATTATGTTCTTAGTGTACGCAGATTACTGGTAGGAGCATTAGTGTGGCATTAAGTATAGTGTTGGAAGACTAAAGAAAAAGTATTTACTCCTCACAACAGAGGCACATAGCAAAATAGGAACAGTAAAAATAAAATGGGAGAACAGTAATAGTATAGGGCAGGTGAAGAAATTTGAGAGCAGAAAGAGTGCTAGGGACCTGTTTTATCTAGAGATGTTCTGAGAAGAAGCATTGGTAAGGGGCCTGCATGGCCAAAAAAAATCAGTCTGGACCTCAATCTGATGGAAAGTGTCAGATGAACCACTCCCACACAATGTTGTCAGCCTTTATGGAAGGGTGTTTTACACAGTAATGAAAAGATTATTAGAACTGACCTTGTTAGTCTCTGCCTATGCAAAGATTTATTCATTTATCAAATCTGCAGAATCATGAGACTGCTTGGTTTAGTATTTGCTGAAACAATTTCTTTAATATTGATGAAGAACCTAGAGAGAAGGAAGAAGGTTTTTTTTAAAAAAAAAGAAAAGCAAAAACAAAAAAAAAAAAACCCAAACCCGAAACAAGCAAAGAAAAAAAAATCCAACCCCACAAAAAACCCTCAAAAAACCTAACAATAATAGGATGCTGATAGATAAACCTTTGTTGGCTTTTAATTCGTTGGCATGCACATTGTTTCAGTAAATATTATAGGTAGGTTCATGACTGAAGCATGGACAAGTCTCATTACATTTGAATTGGAAAAGTACAGCCTGTTTATTCTTCCTGATAGCAATGCCCAATTACATGCAGAAAGGAGATTCTAATAGTCGCACCTTAGCTTCTATCATTTGGTCACCATTGTATCAATAGTCATTCTTGCAGATTTCAGATAAGCTGCAAGTGAGAAATAAAATATGTTTCTTTTAATTGTAGGAAAGTGAAAGCCTTACTTTGGTTATGAGGCCCTCTCTGGTTGAATGAGAAACTGAAGAGGATCTAGACGATTCAGGTTATATTGTGATTAATTTTCTGCTTTTTGACTTTCCAGTAAAGGCTGTGACACATTGTCATATTTCATTGCATCTTGCCATAGCGATAACTCACAACACACATTTATGGCAATGTATTCCTTTCATATTTTATTAGATGCAGTTGCTGTCTATCTTTGTAATAATGAATCTAACTTCAAGTTTTCTAGTTAACAAACTTATTTTAGTTGTTTCATCCTGGATTTTATGTTTGCTATTTACTGTTAATTGGTCACAGTTCTTCGATGGTTGTAGATGGCTCTGATGTATTAACCCATGGCACGTAACTTTTTTCTTTTGTTTCCTTTAAAGCATACATTTAGATTTTCATGTACATATGTAAAGCACTGAAAATAAGACTTGAAAACCCAAGTGGGCTGGGTATCCAAAAATTATTAATTACTGTTAATAATTTTGTGTGATGACTTTTGAAAGATACTATGTTCTGCTTTTAGATTTTACTCCTTACATATGTCATTTTGTAATCTCTCTTCAATTGACATAAACAGAGAATAGTCTTTCAGACAAAAATGCTTTAGAAATAGTCATCTCTAATTAAAAAGTTTAAGGATGAGTTGAAGATGTAATTAATGGACATTGGTATTGGTAATGACTTTGTGGCCAGTGTAACTCATTTAAGCCTTTATTCTAGCTAATATTTAAATAAAGTACGTGATATTGAGAATGCACTTAAGTATTTCCCTTCTGGGTGTTTGAATCTTTGCTTGCTTTTATGAAAATTAATGATCTGTTCTACCTTTAGACCCTGAATGGCAAATTGTATTAAGGCCTGCTTGTACAGCTCTGTCTTGACAGCATTGGAGCTAGATCATAAGAAATCTACATTTAAACAGTCATTTTCAGGGAAAGATCTAATGGTAAGCATGGAAATGGTTCTAATCCAGTAAAAAAGATTCATGTGTTTTCTGCATGCATTGTCCTTGCCTTAAAAATATTATGATCTGCTGTAAAAACTACCATTTTGCTCATGCTTTGGGCGGAAAAGAGAATTAGGAAGCAGAAGGAAGGACATGGAATAATTGCATAAAATTATTTGGGTTTGCAGTCAGTTTAAATGGGTGATATGCAGTACCTTTTGCAGAGTCTGCTCAGCAGAAAAGATAGCGGAAAAAGACAGAAGAAATCATTGCACTCATGTGCAGACCTGTGATGGGTGCATGACTTTGGTGCTATTACGGTGTCCACCTTTCGGGCAGGACAGAGCTAAGAGGAGGCAAGAGGAAAGGCAACCGAACAGGTGTTGGGGTTGTAACTGCTGCTGTATGAGGAGGCACTAGGAAGGCTGGTGTGTCACTCCTGTTTTAAACAGTATGAGGCTGAGAAGGGGTAGGACTGAGATTTACAAACTCTAGGAGGTGGTGAATATAGAAAACGTATAGCAAAAAATGTATAGCAAATGAACATACCACTTCAGTGCTAGGGATAGTTCTTAAAATGATTACTTGAAGCAGTTAAAGGAAGTACTTCCTTACCCAGGGGTTAGCGAATATCTGGAATTTGTTGCCAGAAGAGGAGATGGGGCAGGCCATATCAGCAGAATCAGAGAGGCATTACGCACATTCATGAACAACAGGTTTATAACAAGAAACAGGAAGGGTTGTGCCCTCCTCCATCCCGACAGCAACAGCTGTGGATGCTGGGAGAGCGTGAAGGCAACCAACAGCAGAGAATACCCAGGCATCCTCTCACCAGTGTACCCTGTTACCACAGACCAAGTGCTGGGCTGGGAGGATGACCTGTCCGGTGCAATGTGGCATTTCTTATGCACTTAGTTTTTGCTTTGATTTGATATAAGTCTAGCTAGGATGGATACCTGTAATAATCTGTGCAGGACAGAACAGAGCTGTGCCTGGGATAATTTATTTTACTACTTAGAAAACTTTTCCATCCTGGAGTGATGGGTTTGACCCATTTATGTAGCCTTCAATCTCTTTTTCCTGTGGGTCAATGAAACATTAAACTGTAGCAACCACTTTACCAGGTAACTGTAGGAAAATTGTAGGAAAATGGTTTTTTATAGACATCAATTTTGAGTTTGTTCTAGCATTTATTTGCCTTACATGACTATGAGTTATTCTTTGGTCAGAAGTACACAAGAGGGACAATTACAGATGGAAGGTTGAATAAATCATTCATTCTCAGCAAAACAGGAAGATATTTGCAAAGTTTTTTGGTTTTGTTTGTTTGTTTGTTTGTTTTTCCCTCAGTAGCTGCAACCTCCTGCTCTTTGAATATCACCCTTATGTGAATGAGGGGTTAACCTTCTTCCAATCCTTTAGAGACATCTTATCCCCATTTGCCAGGGCATCCAAGGTGTGCTTCAGGGACTACTTCCTGCCTTAATTTCTAGATTTCCATGGTTCTGCATATTTACAGAGGATATGAATTAATATTAATGAGATAAAATTAAGATAGAGAGAAGACTGTAAAACCAATGGGAGACTTTATGGCTAGCAAGTACAAAGAAGCATATCAAGTACTAATTACCTTCATACCAGCACTCAGTCAAATGAAAATAGAGTAAGCAGTGATGACAGGTTTGAATTTTGGGTAGCCAGTAAATTTTCAATTCTCCTAATCCAAGATTTATAAATGCCAAGACAACAATATTGCTAAGGTTCCTTTTGGACTTACACCTACACATCCCTATCCTCTGCATAATTTATTTGCACTATTTAAATGTATGTATTGCAGATGTTAACTTTGGGCTTTAGAAATCTAAATTATGGATATATCCTTTGAGGATAAAAAAGAATTACAAGATTTACATACAGTGAAAAAGCAAATAATTTAAGACCTCCCTCTCCTCTGCACCCTTGTGTCCCTGTGGTACCAACCACCTAAATTCAAGGCATTATATTTTCTATCTCATCTGCCCCCAAAGGCACTGTTATTACCTCAGGCAGTGCAAGTTGATTCAGAATCCCCTTTAAATCACCAGGCATTCTTCTGTTAACTCTTGTCTGCCTGAACTGGTGCAGACTTTCCAGGACCCCTGACAGATGAGATCCATACCTAAATCAGAGCCTCAAAACACTAGTTTTATACTGAGACTGAATTTCCAAATCATCAAAACATCATGAGCTGACACAAATAGCAGCAGAATTTCAATATAAAGGTCTTGTTGCTGTAGGAAATAAAATAATAAAGAAAACCTGTAAGAACACCGATTATTTAACAGCAGTAAATCAGTCTGATGTATACAGTAAGATCTTTTAAAAAATAAATTTTTATTATTATTTCTAATACATCTTCATTCCCCAATTTCCCTTTCTGCTTGAATCTCAGGCTTTATCATATGTTCTCCAAAGGATTTAACAGCTACTCCTTCCCTTAAAAGATGCATATGAAATAAATACCTTTTGTCTGGAAGGGTATCAGAGCCTGTGCCACCTGGGAGAAGAGGCAGCCTGTCCTGCAGAGTCCGGCACTGCTCAGTGCTATTCTTGCTCTTTTTCACAGCAGTGAAAGTGGTGGCTGCTACCAGGTTTGCTTTCAGGCTGGTGAGACAAGTAGCTGTCTTTGCTTGTCTCATGTGTTACAGCACTGATACACAGCACTGTATATGGTTTGAAATTGTTAGAGACTGTTGCATGCCAAAATAAATGTAAATAGGTGAGCAGGAAAGGCAGAGTGTGAAATCCAGCCATCAGGTAAGATATTCTGATGCTAGAAGTTCAAATTACTATAAAAATGATGCTGACAAGAATTATCTTTTAGGAGACTTCTGCCATCCAGTGCTGGATTTCTGCCTCCATTTTGCTTTTGCCTTACTTATGCAAGAAACTACTCTGCTTCCTTCTTCCCCAGATCTTGAAAGAAGAGTTTGAGGAGAGTAGACTGTATTTTGTATGCTTTTATTCTTTCTGTACGGTATTTGCTCAAACCATGACCAGAAAGAGGGCACCAGTGTAGAACCTTCAGTGTGGTCTTCTCTCTCCAAACTTACCTTTGTTGATAAGCACTGAAATATAAACAGTTATGCCCAGTAAAGTGTCATCACTGGCTTCTGAGATTATGCACATGGAAATTATTAGGATGTCTTACTGGTGAGAGCTCTTGTTGTAGGTCCTTTTCAAAATCAGATAGATGTCACTATTTCACTTGTGTTCTGTGTTTTCAAGGTTTTCTTGTATTTTCTGCTTTTAAATGTAAAAAACCCAGATGTACTGGGGAACAACCTGAGCTTTTCCTAATGTTTTCCTGGTTAGTCTTTCCCTGTGTTAACTGTAATGGCACTGGCACTAGTCTGAAAACTGTTGTTAAGTGGTTGGACTTCTGCAGCTTCTCTTAGATGTCTACTTCTGAGCTGATCAGATCTTGACAGGTTATTTCTCTAAAGATGCATTCATATTTACTCATCATAGGTGATGAGATTTCACTCCTTCCCTCTTTCTGTTCCTGTAGTTTGAGTGCTCACAAGCTTTTTTCTTTTACCCTTGCAATGCTGTCATAGGAGGAGGTGGGAACTAAAACAAAGGAGAGACTTCATTTACATCAAGGGTCCAAAGGGTAGACCTGTCTGACCTGGCTTGAAACTGGTATGGCCTCCTTCAGTTTGGAGCCCAGTGCAGAAGCCACGTGGGGCCTGGGACCCCACTCAGGTGAGCCACTTGTGAGCTCTGTGTCACGTCAGCTCAAGGGCTACAGTGCCCAGTCTAAAACTGGTCTGGTATTGAGCTGCAGTTGATCTTTGGGTAAAGTTGCATTACGCTCAGTCCCAAATGTCTCACCCAGGGACACACAAGGGAACATCCATGACAGATGTAGCTGGAGCCGGCTGCCTCGAGTCCTAGTCTTTGGCCCTAACCACTGGACCATTACACTCTCTTGTAAGACATCACCTTTGAAAAGCTAATTGTGTCTATCCAGGTATTTCATGCTGATATTCTTTCTCAGAGAAAGTATATGCATTTTGGCAGATCTGTATTTCCTGGTAGATCAGTCTCTTTAGTACCCCTTTTTCAGCTTTTTCCTTTCTGTCAGTACTTCTGGAAACGAGGGATCTAGAAGAAATGTTGTTTTAAATAACAAGTTAAATGACAGTCACAACATTTACAACATCCAAGTCTAAACAGGGAAAGGAATAGTCAAAGCACAGTACATCATGAATTATTTTTACAATAAACACTATTTTCTATCAAGTATAAACAAACACTTAGTAAATCTGTCTCTTCTACCTTAATTTACCTGTTGGGACATATCTGTATGACAGATTGCTTCAAGGACTTATCAATCCCCAGTTACACATTAATTCACAATTGGTTGTTGTTCTCATATATTTATTAAATTAATTTCCCATGCAATAGCTTTTATCCTTTTCTCCTGCTTTCTTAGTTTTACATTTTTGATAGTTAGGTGAATTGTGTTAAAGTACTAAACAAGGCACCTAATTAAAGACAGTGAAGAAAGTGGTGGAGATGTTATGGGCCAGTCTTTTAAAAGTGTACATAATTAAAAACTTGCATATTTGTGCCTGCTACCAGATTTGTGTGCATGGATGAATAGCATCTAGAAGCTTAATCTAATTATTATGTGAACAAATACCAATTTCTATTTACACTGTGAATACAAAAAGATTTATCTGCAACAAAAATGCGTCTTCAGATTATAGCCTAAGGTTGCATATTTGGTCCATTGTGCAAATCATAGATATTAAAAAATGTATCCCCTTTCAGGTGCAGCTATTACATTGTTAATGTGATACAGATACTTGTAGACAGTTAAGACAGAGTTAGAGGACAGCTAGAGCCAGTAAGAATGACAAAACTATTGCAGCTGAGTACAAAGGTTCTCTGCAAAAAAAGAGAAAAAAAAAATATTTGAAAACTGTATCACACTAGTGAAAGCATATCTATCATAGTTATTTCACTGTATTAGCAAAGGTGGTCTTCACAAAATGAGACTGATTCAGTGTTCTAGTTATTTCAAAGAGACTTAAGTACATTTTTAAAATGTGCAGTTGGGAATTGCTTTCAAGAGAGACTGGAAGTAATCTTGTGTCTTGAAATATAAATGGTATCCTAAAGAAAGGCTCATGTTTCCCACAGAATGACCAGGCATGTTTAACTGACTGATAGTTAAATACTTATGTCAATAAAATTATAAGGTGATAGTGATGTGATGTAAACATTGTTTTCTGTGAGGTATGCAGCCCAAGAGAGTTAAGTGTCTCCTATAAAATGTTTAAGTAAGTTTCCATGTAAAATCAAACTTGCAAAAAACTCATGATAAAATTGCTAAAGTAAAATGAAAGTAAGAAAATAACCTAACATACCATATTAAAAGAGAAAAATGCCTCAACTGTGTCAGTTGCTCTAAATTTTCCGGTAATCATTGTGCAATTGTACTTTGATTGCTGTATAATTATGTTCCCATATATGTTTCAATCCAAATTTCTTTTTTATGTTTGACACATTAAATTTTTTTATCAAGTGTTAAAACATTGATTCAAAGTGAAATCTATAAGAAATTATTATAAGATGATTAAATTACAATTATGTGGATATTATTTGACATGAATTATGGTTTATATGCCCTCAGAAAGATGCGTATTTGCTAGAAGTTTTATATGCAGTTACTCTATCAGTGATTTTCATCTTAAAAAAGGTGACAGAATAGATGTTTCTCATGGAGGAAAGTGGAGGAATAAATCTTATAAACAGAGCAGACAAGTTCCACTAAAAATCTGATATTAGAAAGAAGAAAATATTTCTTGTCCTATATGCCATTGTACTTGACTTCTATCCCCGATATTCTGATGTCCTGGGTTCAAGTGAGTGGAGGGGTTTTTGGTAGCAGGGGAGGGGGCTACAGGGGTGGTCCCCTGTGAGAAGCTTCTCGAAGCTCCCCCTGCTCCAAGTCAGCTCCACCTCTGCTCGAAAATTGTGCCAATCAGCTGCGCCTCTGCGATAATGTATTTAAGAAGGGACCTGGGAGGAGGAGTTGGAGTTATGAGGAGGAGTTGTGACATCTCCATGAACACCAAGGTCAGTGGAGGAACAGAGGAAGAAAAGAGGGGGGAGGTGTGCCGGAGCAGAGACCCCACTGTATCCTGTGGGGAGTCTCCAGGGTGGCCCCCCCGCTCCACCCATGAAGGTCAGTGGTGGAGCAGACACTAATTTATGGCCTGTGAGGAGCCCCACAGGAGCCAATTAAGGTGGATGCACCTGAAGGCAGCCGGGACCTTGTGGGAAGAAGCAGTTCCTGCTGTTGTAGTTCAGCACTGGGAGAATTGCAGCCTGCTGGGGGGTCCCACACCTGAGCAGCTCAGGAAATGCTGCATCCCATGGGAGGGACTCAAATTGAAGAAAAGTTGTGGAGGACTGCCTCCTGTGACAGGGGGACCATGTGGAAGTTCCAGAAGTTCCTTTCCTCCCCTCCCTTCCACCCTCCCCAAAGATGGAAGCAGCGGCAGCACTGGCTGCACCCCCCGTGCCCTGCCCCTGTGCCACTGAGGGGAGGAGGTAGAGATATTGGGAGCAGAGCTGAGCCTGGGAACAAGGGAGGGGTGGGGTGGGGGGCAAGTGTTTTCAAGGTGTGGTAATGTTTCTCACTGTCCTAGTCTAAGTGCTGTTGTTGTTAGTGCCTGTATTAAACATATGTTGTTTTTTTCTTCCCCTAACAAGTCTGCCTTTTGCCTGTGACTGCAATGAGTGGTTTATCTTTCCCTGTCCTATCTCGAATCCCAAGCCTTTGCTTATTTTCTCCTTCTCAGGACTGGAATGGTGGAGGGGCAAACGAGCAGCTGTGTGGTGTTCTGTTGCCTTCTGAGCTCAATCCATGACACCTGGTCAGCATATTTCCTCTGGAATTACTTTAAGTCTCTTGAGGTTGACCCCAATTTCATTAAATTGAGTTCTTACCTTAGTATAATAAGCCAGAAAGATGTTTAATTGTTTTTCATATTTTAAATTGTGTGGAAAAAAACCTGAGGAAAATAAATATAATGAAAGAGTCGGTCCTTCCAACAGAAACACTGCAATCTAGTTTTTAAGTGGGATGTTTTACTGGGTGCAGATATGGCTGAGATGAGGGTGCTTGTCCCCTTCTGTCCTGGGCAAATTGTCATTGGTTGTCATATGGTCTGAAACCCCTCATGGGGTTCATCATGACCTTTCCCACAAGGGATGTAATTTATGGGCTTGTTGTGTAGCGAGCAACTCAGTAGTCTGCCTTAACTTCTGGGCTTGCCAGAAGGCTGTTTTGCTGGCACACGACCTAAAAAGCCTTATTCTTCTCAGCAGGTCTGAGGAGGGCTGGCACAACCTAAAACAGAGAGCTTTTTCTGGCCACAAACCCTCAGTGCAGAGTCCAGCATGCTCAGACCGTTGAGGGTCAGTCTGTAGGAGGGAACAGATAAGGAGAGAGAGTTCTAGCTAAGTTTTGTCTTATGGCACTTGATACCAGGATGCTGATGGTCTCATCTTGCATCTGGAAGGAAGGAAGAAGGCAGCACAGGAATCACAGGAACAAAGGCTATTTCTCCTTTACCCACTATAATCC